TAATAATTACACAACAAATCCAAATTAATTAATTTCAATAAGTTAATATTAAACAAAAACTTTATATATATTGCTTTGATGGTGTCTTCTTTTTGAATAATTAATTTTTGTTATTTAAAAATATTTAAATATCAACAAAAAATTTGTAATCAAACAACTTAGAAAATTGTTTTAAAATAAAATAAAATGATTAAAACCAGTCAGTTTAATTGAAAGACAACAACACTCTTCGGTGTGTATTAATAATTACTAGTTAAATCATATTCTTTTGCGGTATAAGTATATGTATTGCAATAACTTCCATAAACAAATTTCTTGAAGACACAAATATCAAACCCGCCACCAAATGAAAAGAGTTTTTCATCGTGTTGGTCAAATATAGCAATTTCATAATCTGAGGGTTTTTTATGCTTTTCAAACTTGTTGGGATTCAAAATGCCATTTCTCACAAGCGAAAATATATAAGAATTGCCACTGTTTAGATTGAAGCCAATTTCATCGATATCACGAGTGTACACGCCACCAAACTTGTTATGATTTTTGTCTTCAATCAAAAAGCACAAGTTGCTTTTGTTCATAATTTTTTCGATAAACACTGACTTGTTTTGTGACCAGTCGTCTTTGTCTGAGTCAAACACGATATTTTTTATTGTTTTATTTGTCAAAATTTCCAGACTTGCTTTCTCTTCAAGTGTAATATGTTCGAGTTTCATTCTTTTAATTTCTTCGTTGTGTTGCATTTTTGCGTTTGTGTATATTTTAAAGTTTGTTATTTCTTCAATTCTCTTATTTCTGTATTCATATGTTTTCTTGGAATCTCCATGACGTCGTTTTAAATCAGAATGGTAATTCTCTTTGGCAAGTCCAATTAGTACATTGCATATATCATACAACCTTTCATTGTCACTTTGTGTATAATATAATATCAAATTACTTTTAAGTGTGTTTGATAAAGTTTTTAAATTTGTTTGAATTGTATTAAGTGACGTTGTGATGTACCTTTTTCTTTTAAACGTTTCATCAAGTTTGTCAAAGTATCCCTCTGCTTTTTCAATACGTTCATCAATGTCGAGTGACTTGTTGTCAACAAAGTCGTTTATTCTATTTGATGATTTAAAATATGAAACTGCCTTTACAGTGTTTGTGCAAAGTTCGGAGAGTGTATTTAACTCGCTTATCATATTTAAATTAAAGTTTATCGCGTCTATTATGTTTGTAAAAAATTATGTTATAAATAATTTATGATACTTATTTTTTCAACTTAAAAAAAAGAAAAAGTTAGAAATAATTAATATATTATTTATTATCAATTAATTTAAGAGTAACCAAAAATTTTTTATTGATTGTTTGTTTCAAAATAAACATCATTTCATTAAAAAAATTTTTAACCAACCAAAAAGGTAATCAAGGAAATAATTATTTATAACAACAATGGACACTCTGCATTATGCAAGCTTTATTTTATGAAAGACATTATTCAATTTTAATATAACAAGACATTTTTAACCAAAAAAACGAGACGCAAAAAAACGCGTTTAAAAAATATAATTGGAATTTTGGTTATTGTTTTTGTTTAGATAAAATGTGTAAAAAATATTTTTAGATTTTTTGTGTTTTTTATATAAAATAACTAATAATTCTATTGCAAACCCATTCTGCCGCACACATCAACAAAAATATAATTGTAATAAGTTTGTCTTGCCACTCCAATGTTGTCACAGTAATAATAAAGATTTCTACTTATTACTTGTGTCTGGGAAAAAAGTTTGATTATATTTCAGACCTTAAGTTAAAATCGTATTATAATAGTCGTAAAAACCTGGGGGCTGATTTCTTGCTGAGTGTCAATTATCTGAAAACTACTGAAAGATGTTTTCTCATACAATAGCAAATTTATATGTCATTTATTTTTAGAATTTTTTTCTCATTTTTATATTTATATAAAAAACGCACTTTTTGCGTCTCGTGCATTTTGCCCAAGAAAAAAAAATACTGTTGGCAGGTTAACAGTTGAAAAAACATTTTTAAAAATACCAGACACTCTTTATGTAAAAAGATATTTTTAGATTATTTTTTGGTTTATTTTGTAAAAACAAAATACTTGAAAATAAATAAACGGATTTAAGGTTAATAATCAACAACTTATTGTTCCTCATATTTTGTGTACTCTTCATTTGTAAAGGAACGCCTGATCCCATCAGAGTCAAACATTGGCATGGCAAAGATTTGCCTATCTATCTTTGTTGGGCGCTTCA